GGTCAACAGAAGGGTGATCACATGCACTGGTCGGTGTCAACACTGCCATTCCACAGCCCTATTGTACAGGTAAAATCAACACACAAACACACAAACAAACAGAGCAGTTTTAGAGCAATTCACTCAACTTTCTTGATAGGACCAGTACTTTCAAAAAACCATTCACATCCGATTTTTTAACGCATCTGTTCCAGTCGGGCAAGTGTTTACTTGTAAGCTCTTCTTGATCAGCTGTCAGGGGATGGTTGTGTGTGTGTGTGTGTGTCCTGGAGGGGGGGGGGGGGGGGGGGGTTATAGCGAATGCCACAACTCCATACTCTGCTCTTGGCCAAGTCTTTCACTGAACCTGCCATCACAGCTAGGGTGGCGTAATCAGGTAATTTTGGTCCTTGTGACATTCGTTCTTTCATTATTCGATCACCTCGTGTACCTTCTCCCACCTTTCCTCGCATATTTCCTTACTTTTGGTCATTGGTATTTTCCTGCTACCGGTGTGCCTGACAGTGTCGACGACCATGCGGCTTATCTTCAATTGCTCGTGTTACGTACTTTCGGTCTCCGTCCATACCTCGGCTCAAGCGGTACGTCGAGAACTCAGCCTGACGATAGCTCCGTATCGCAATGGCTGCGCGTCTTCTGCGGTAGCAAGTCGCTTGGTCAGTGGAGTGCCGGTAGCCTGACCTGCGCAGCTACGCTACGACTGTCCATGTAGCGACCTACACGTATTTCAAGATTTTCTTCCCCTTTTGTTCGAGTTTTCCTCGACTTGTATCTCACTTTATATTCTTATTATCCTCTCCTTGCTTCTGTCTCAAATCTCTCAATCTCATCTATTCTGGTGGTCTTGTGCTCTCAAGTAAACTAAAAAAGTCTAGCAATCCTACAGTCCTACTATTCGCCATGACAAGCAGCCGCGAAGCTAAACTAGTGCGTGTCGCAGCGAGTCCGAATTCGTTTCAAACTACCGGGTCATATGTACATTCAACATCCCCGAGCCGTTCGACGAATTCTTGTCGATGGTGGTTTAGCCATGGAGGTGGCGGCACAAGCTGCCACGAAGAGCTGATTATACTGCTGGGCGTGCAAAGATTAGAGTCAGCGAAGGAGATTCCCCTCACTCAGCATCCGATCCAGTAATATCGTTCCCGTAGTTGTGTTGCAACATTGCACAAAATGTGTGACAAGTTGCTGCTGTCAATGTCACTTTGCAGACATCGTGTCCATCATTGATCGCTGATCTGGAGCCTCGTAAATCTATGATCTACTGTCTTGTAAAACACCCGGGCCATAGGTCTACCCACGGGCGATGTAATGCGCCTGAGCCTAGCCCTTGGCGAATAATGCCGGCAGAAAAAGGGCAGAATTCGGTACTTTTTCGGGTATTTTTCATGTATGTTTGGTATGTGGATAAGGGCATAACGAAATGGAGCAGAATTCAAGGACGTGCCTGCCATAAGGTTTGTATGGTAGGTCTACTGCCAATGTCACTGCTTTTCGAGCAGAACCTGCCAATTGTTCGAGCATCATCCACCAAGGGCTACCTGAGCCCCGGCAGTCGGGGGCCGACGCTATGAGTAATGTGGGCTAATGCAATGCAGCTATTACAGAGGCGGCGGTCTAATCAGCTGCTATCACCCAGCCACTACATGTACACCACCGACTTTAGCACCTTGATCATCATGATCAATAGCGGTTGCCCTGTGTGTCTGCTGCCGATAATCTAGAACTAGAAGCACCCGTACCGAACTGTGAGTATGGAATGCTGAACTTTTGGAGATTGATGATAAACAGACAGCAATTCCTAGTTTAGATACCACGTACCACCGCTTCGTGATTGCAGTACGCTTGCTGGTGCGAGTCCTTGCGTCAGTCGGGTGATGTAGAACCGAAAGGGAACTGAGAAACTACCCCAGCGTTTGTAATTCAGTCGAACAATGGCCTTCTGATGCAACAGTCATTGTATTTTCAACATCTGTATTCTCACGATGGCCCAGTGTCGGCAATAGGAGATACTAGAGTGAGTTTTACATCAGAAAAGAGAGCTTGCAGTGTAGGGTTTGAATGTGGAAATATTGCATTTTTAAACAGAGAGCCAGTACTGCAGCTGGACGTCTACGGGTGAGCGAGGCTGCTCAGTTGCCGTTGTTCTTGCTGTCTACAGTCAGCCTTTTCTTTTAAAAGATAGCCACAAACCATCATGGTGCAAACGCCAGGGAGAGATAGCAGGGAGGTACATAAGGATGGCAACCGAAGCAGTGGAGGCGGGGCAGAAGCGACTAAACCGACCCAGGGCCTCAGTATCAACACCGCTCATGCGTTCCTTGGAGCAGCCAGACAACTTTTTTTTAAATTTCGGCCAGTCGGCTACTATTTTCATCTTGGGAGTTAGACAGGGGGAAGTAGTCATGTAGGGGCGTTAGCCCGGACAACTACGTAACCAGTCGTTACTTAGTGAACACAAGCAAGCAGGGCCGTAGCATCAGCGCTACACGTGCACGCATACCAGGTGCAGTAAGTAGTAGGACTTTGAGCTGCTAGCAGTAATAGTACTCGTCTTGGAATTCGGTTCTCTCATTCAACATCGATGTCAATGTCCCTATACCGAGAGTTCCTCGCGATGGCGGTGATGGGCATGTGGTAGGGGTCGACCAGGGGTGCATTGTGGAGCGGTGGTGTGATCGATGTGACAGTGGATTTCTAATGCGAGGAAGAATGATGTAGTTACAGAATGTCAACCCTTGAACGCTCGCGGCAAAGCGCCGGATGATCTGCCACCTGGGAATAATCATCAGGCAAGCGTGGTGGTGATCTGGCACAAGCAAAACGCCCCAAGCTGCATGCTCGTGTTCCTCAGCACGACGGTATAGCAGGTGGTGACGCGAAGTCTGAACTTTACTCACAAGTTTTCTTGCTTCCCAGCAGGAGAAAAGTAGCTGCTACTGCCCCTGGTTGGAGTTTCTCTGTCTGGTGTGGAACTATGACGATGCCTACACGTGCAAGTAAATTGCTGTATTATATTTAGATTACTACATCTAACCCTTTGCTGCGTCCATGGAGCTATGAAGCCGAGACCTCTGGTCAGCGGAGCTTAATTAATGGGCCCCACCACCACACTCCATTATTCACCCCAGTGTCTGGAGATATGTGGATGTTGTAGAAAAAAAAGAACCCCAGGACGAACTGAACACTGTTCATGACTCAGTTTGTGAAGAAACAAATTACTGTCACCACCAAACCTCGAACAAGGGACCCTCCCAAATGGCTTTGCTGTCTAGTTCTCCTTAGTGTTAGCACGTAATGTAATGTGGCTCCTAAGAACCCCACTCTCAACCGGCTCAACACAATGGTTTTATGTCAGCATATTTTCGAACATGACACATCACCAGGGCGATTAAACAACTTGGGATATGTGACAGTGACTGTTTGCGTGCGGAGTCCAGTTTAGCCTTGGGACATTCTGCACCCTGTCGTCCAACAACGCATAGCTATACATGTGCTCCCCTAGACATGACAGAGGCTGGGACTAAAAGATGCACTCTGCTCAGGGAGTGGTGAATACATGTACGTGACTGTATTATTCCAATAACCCCCTGTTCTGAGTGTGTTCAATTATCATCTCTCTTGGCAACTCCCGGTGCCGAAAGGTGGGCTAACGCCCCTACAATGTAACATGGCTACTTCCCCTTGTCTAACCCTCAAGACGAAATGATAGTAGCCGACTGGCCGAAATAAAAAAAAAATAAATAAATCTCTCTTGGCATATCTTCTCACTTTTGTCACCGTTGATTGAGTGTTGTCATCGGTATACGCCGTACCCATCACGTCGCTAACAATGTCCCGGTGGTTTTACAAGTTCTTTTCATGCTCGCTTGACTTTGTACAGACTGTCAGTGTGGCGCAATTGGTCAGAGCATGAGTCATGACTGTGCATCATCGGGACTTAAACATGTATGTCTATGACGATAACTAACTTCATGCTGCACAGGGAGGGTGCTGTCTGGTGTAGGTCACACATAGAATACACCACCACTTGAGCAGTCTACACGGCCAGTCACAGCTAGCTAGCTCTGTCAGTAGACCACCCCCCCCCCCCCCCCCCGATACTCATACTCTTTCATTCCCAGATTCAGAACGATGCGTCGCCTGATACAGTGATAGTGTTGGTACAGTATTTGATGACAAAGAATCACAGACATGATGGCTTGCACGGTCAGATCATGTTGTGATCGACTTGTGGGTTGCAGGAGGACGTTTCTGTAGTGCATAGTGGTTGTCGCAGCATTGTCTCTCTCCATATGGTCTCTCTCATCCGTACATTGTTACAGTGCATAATACACACATGCTCGATGCAAATAAATCAGTGCTTGTCTTGTCCCGCAATGGACTCCTGTGTAGCTTGCAGGCCCACCGGAACATTGTGGCAGCGGTGGGATCCGAACCCACGCCTCCGAAGAGACTGGAGCCTCAATCCAGCAGTCCATTGTAATTGTCTTTTTGCAGCAGTTTGGCATCCCATACACTTGGAAGAGGCGCTGTGATCTGTTGGAGACTTTAATGTCAGCTGTCAGCACTTGGTATACAAGGAATGGTAGTGGCCTGACACAAGCGAAACATCCTATGCTGTTTCTGTGGTTGTGTTTCGCAACACAATTGTATAGAAGGCGTTAAAGCGAACATGTGAACATTACTTCTGTTTTGTCAGCACGATAGACCCAATGCCATCCATGTTACGTCTGTCTTCATTCCTTTTTCAATCCTCTCAATTCGGAGTGTTCCTACTTCGAAGTACATTTTCTGGTTTTCGCCCCCTCGTCTTTGATCGGTGATCACATGTACATGTATAATGCTACGGGATGTGGGGTGTGGAATAGATAGATAAACTAGGGGCCCATTGCACCCAGTTCGTTCAGGAGCCAGGGCAGTACAGAATAGGAGCGTGATAATAATCACTCTTCATTTTGGCAGGCGATGTCGCCCACAGCCATCGGCCTCCTCGATACAGGCACCCGTATGATATCCATAATAAAATTATAAGAGATTCATTGATCACTTGTTAGAGGCAATCGGCTTCACATCCCATGGCAACTAGAACTATCATTGTAGATAGTTTCCCTGCGCATTCTTCAATAATTAATTATTGTTTTCGCTCTGGGGGGGGGGGGGGGGGGGGATTTGGACAAAACAGTGTAATTCGATTCTTCGGGGCATGTACTGGGATGTCGCGAGAGTGCACCTCGTGTGGGTTCCCATTTTCTCTGCTTCTCCACGATTGTTCTCTCTGAAAATACTGTTTCTAAACGCTGTTAGCATCCCCCCCCCCCCCCGATACTGTGTATGGTATACCGCACCACTTAATCGGTAGTACATGTGTACCAGGTCAGGTTGTTGGCCGAGCCACTTTTGTTCCATAAACTCCATTCCACCGTGATAGCGCATAGCGCATAGCGCATAGGGAACGCTACGAGAACGCATAGAAACGTACATGTTGGGCACGAGGTAAAGGTTGAAGTAGTAGGATGTGTGTACATAATTATTTGTATTGTACTCGATCGACGGTATACGGTAGGTGGATATGGTGTCGACGGTATACGGTAGGTGGATATGGTGTCGACGGTATACGGTAGGTGGATATGGTGTCGACGGTATACGGTAGGTGGATATGGTGTCGACGCTGGTGTCGACGCCCGGCTGATACGCACAAGCGGTGCTGAAAACGGAATCCATTTCATGATTTCATCATCGTGTTCGGATGACGAAGACACGAATCACGAAATTTCCAGCAGGCAGGGAACCACATCAGCGCCAATCTGCGGCGAGACCGTTACTTTTCCTTTCTGCCAGGGTATAATTCTATTTCTTGTTCTGTGATATTGATGTGCACACGGTGCATGGAGCTCACCGAGTACAGTACATACTCGTAAATAGACGTTGTCCAGGGTACAAGTGTATTGCTCCATATTGAAGTACAAATGTGATACCCTAATAAGTACTTCAAATACTCAGCATTTTCTGTTGCCCATGCGGGCACATCTTTAATAGCAAATTTCCACAGTACATGTTTCACTAGCTGAAGGTCACGGTGGGGGGTTTCAGTGCAACTTTTCACTCACTTGACCGACACAGGTCAGCAGCGATCACCTACAGTTCAGTTCCCAATGTTAGAATTATAAAAGAGAGAGGTTCCGGGGTGTCCAAGAGAGTGCTCAATACCGAGAGGCAGAGATATATGTAGTTCAAACAACAAGAGGACTGAAAATTGTTCAACTCCGAGTTTTACGCACTAAGCGACCATGAGATAAGTGTGTCAGTAATTTGCTAGCACTGAGCATACTGTCACGCGAGGGCATGATTACAGGCGTGATCGGGCAGGCGATATCACACCCCCCATTTCCTTGAGTTGTCATTACATGCCTATGTTCGCGGCGAAGTGCATCAGCTCTGCAGGATGCTGAACCGACAGCTTCGCTTAGGCTGAACGGCTGGGGTGAAAGGAGAGAGATTGTTTTCTTTTCTTTTCTTTTGTACCAGTATATTGTTCTTGGCAGTGGCACTAGCAGCAACGCTTGTCCAGAGAGAACATGTGAGATGAAAGGAGAGACAGGGGAGGTAGCAAGGGTGTCACGGTGATCAGGATTGCTACCAAGGGAAGGTGAAGCTGCGCATCATTCGCAACACAAACCGCCCACCGTCACCACTTTGCCTTCACGAACACGTACCATCATTGTGGACTATCGTATTTGGAACACCTTGCACTACCCAGGCCAGGTGCAACATCAGCCCCTCACAGGCCACACTGCCCTGCATACAGATGCTTCCAACGGCCTGCCCTATAGTTCGCTAGCTAATGACACGACTACACACCAAAGCCACTGTCTGCGCGTTCTAATCGTATTTGTTGTCCCACCCAACAATTGGTTCGCAGCGGCACCAGCAGTCGTGCCAGGAACAACCACAGCGACAGCACTGCCGAGGCTACGAGCCAGTTGTCGGATAGTTGGGCTGTACACCAAGTATCAAACGACATTAGCAACAAACATCTTTTCATTCATCTCCCACTGTACGCCTGCCCCGGGAGGAAATCTTTTCCCCAAAGACACGAGTCCAGGGTCAAGGGCCGGGCGGGTTCCAGAACAACAGAAAGTGGCCAACGGCGAAGCGAATCCCACCAAAACTGAGTGCCTAAACACAGGAGTAAACCAGGGGGTGCACGCACAATGTTGCACACACACTCTCACTGGCGATTGTATGCACACATAGGTGCGGACGCCCGTCCACAGATTTATCGCCTACATCTAAAGGTAGCGCTTCCCCGCCGTGCACCCCTTTGTCCATGGCTGCCTGTTTTGACCACCAGTTTACTGATGGACGTGATTTTAACGTGAAGCCAAGACTCACAACACAGCTTCCTCACGCCACCGTACACTTACCATTGTGTTGGCATGGCGCTGCAGTCTCTTCTCTCCACGTAACGTTGATGGCTAAGTCCAACGCCTCTATTTCCACACGCGTCTGCACCACTTCGACACAAAGCAAGCTCCAAGTCAAATCAGCTCGATCCACTACCAGCATCAACGGCTGCTCCAAACACGACCGCTCAACAAACTCAGCTTAGGTACTCGCCTGATGGCGAACACAGCTCCCAACGGCGCTTGGCCTGATTCCGTAGCGTTCACTACTGTCAGGAGCGAAAGTGAAACCGAAACAATCGGCACTGTGGAGTGAACAGCAACTTGCAAGATGACACAGTACGTGGAGAAAGCCCTTGACTCGGCTTGAGCTGGCGATGCGGCAAGCATGAATACCATGTACGTACATAATAGACTCAGCCACAGACTGAGTGCAGTGCTACATGTAGCTAGTGAGTAGTGGAGAGCTCCCGCCTGACCCTGTAAGGCTGTATGGCAGCTCATGTCTCCTGCTTCGACTTCGAGACTAGCGCGGGTATACAGTTCAGTTCATGATGCTGGCGCTTGCATCGTTACACCTGTGCCGTCATCTAACTATTGCATTGATCTAGCGGTAAGCTGGTCTACAATGACAATGACTATGTAGTGTAGATCACAGAAGATGGACAAAATACAGGGCATGGGCAAGTGAGCCTTATAAGGATGACTGCACATCGAACCCCATGCCATGGCTAGATATGCTAGGTATGCCACTGCCACTAATACTGGGCACTATGCCGCAGACTTCTTCACTGCAGACTAACACGTGATCGAACGCATTGCTTGACACATATGCACAGTGCAGTCACTGAGATCATGTGTGTGTGTGTGTGTGTGTGTGTGTGTGTCACTGTGTGTGTGTGTGTCACTGTGTGTGTTACTGGGTTACTGTGTGTACGTGTGTGTGTGTGTCACTGTGTGTGTGTGTGTGTCACTGTGTGTGTGTCACTGTGTGTGTGTCACTGTGTGTGTGTGTGTCACTGTGTGTGTGTGTGTGTGTGTGTGTGTCACTGTGTGTGTGTGTCACTGTGTGTGTGTGTGTTACTGTGTGTGTGTGTTACTGGGTTACTGTGTGTACGTGTGTGTACATGTACAGTATGTGCGCGTGCGTGGCAGTGCGTGTGTATGCCACTGCATGGCTACAGATGCATACCTTTGAATTTTGCTATCTCTCATCACCTGATCCTTATCCTCTGTGTCAATAGCATCTGTGTAAATAGCAAGTGTGACGCGAGTCTGTCTACGTTTGTACCCGATTGGCCCTTTCCCAAAGATGCCAAAGTATTTCGCAACTTACTTATGCTTTTCGCAACCATGCCAAAGCAAGTCACTCCGGAAAGTTGCTGTGATTGGATCCATGTTTTCAAAAAGGCTCAAAAGTTTCTAATATCGCAACTCAAAATGAGCGAATTCTTGTGCATAATGCCAAAAACAACCAATACAGCAGCGGAAATGGAAAACACTGCGGCGCAGCACAACTGCCGGAGTCTTAAAAAGGAAAATGAACAGACTTGGAATGAGTCATTGTCCTTTTTGTTGAACCTTCGCACAGCATTTATAACACAGCGGCATGCTCAGGGCTGCCACATACATGTACATGTAAGACTGTACTTCTCGAAGTAAACTTGTCAATGTCATGATAATGTGATGCTCTGTTTCAGCGCTTCTTGTTGAAGCGGAGCATCACGGACACATCAATGGTCTCCTCCAGGACGCTTCTCTGCACACAGTTGCGGAAAGTTGCGAAGTAGTTTGTGAAAATGAAGAAAGTTGTGAAAGTTGCGATTTCTTCCAAAACAACAAAAAGTTGCGAAAAGAGTGGCGAGCATCTTTGGGAAAGGGCTAGTGGTGGCCCCGGGGTGAGTATATACCCATGGAGTTTCAACTTGAAGGACGTGCATCGGACAGAAATCAGAATCCGAGCTGACAACCTATGGCTTGAAATTGAACTTCCAACATGTTCACGACTACACTGTACACCTGGTACATGCACAAGTAGTGTATGACATAGCGCGGGCAAGTCGAACGATTTTCTGTGCTCGTCTGGCGAAGTGTGCCCGAAAGTGGGAACCCTTTCATTCGCGAGTAGTGACTGCCATGACAACTGGTAGGATCTCTCGTCTCTGGACAAGTACATGATGGTGCAAGGGAAATGGAAGTATATTTACCCTGAGGAGTTGGCACCGGCGGATAATGCCGGCAGAAAATTTGGCAGAAATCGGTACTTTTTCTGGTAAGTTTCATGCATGTTTGGTATGTGGATAAAGGAATGGAGCAGAATTCGAGGAATTGTCCGCCATAAGGTTTGTATGGTTCTGCCAATTTCACTGCCTTTCGAGCAGAATCTGCCAATTTTTCGAGCGGAATCCGCCGGTGCCTACCCAGTGAGGAGGGATGAAAGTGCCTAAACATGATTGTCATGTACCCTGTCCTGGTTTCAGCATCGCCTTTACAGCCGCGTTTCCAAATTCAAGACCTGAAGCGTCAAGTACAATTAATGGACATTGATGATTGTCATCCGATCTGGGACCTTTAATTTACTAATATCAGTAATATGTCTGCTTGAGTCCCCTCGTACTTCTTGGCACCTTCATTCACTTCCTTGTTGTTGAGCACCTCTGTTCGTTCGGTATTAAACTGCGATTTAAACAAAATTAAACAACAACTCCAGAATAACAACCCTGAACTGGGCGTGGAATGCAATCTTGAATGTTGGAGTTATGCAAAGCGAACAGAAGTGTGTGTGTGTGTGTGTGTGTGTGTGTGTGTGTGTGTGTGTGTGTGTGTGTGTGTGTGTGTGTTGCGGGTTCAATTCCCGACGATTATGGTCGCACACGTCTTTCTTCTCTTTCTCATTCTCCTAGCTCTTCTTTCATTCTCCTGGGTGGTTGCCAACAGCCAGTGTATGCCGGAGTATGTGGTGTGGTGTGTGTGTAAAAAAAAATGAAAAATAGGGATTCACTGGCCATAAAAAGCCACTTCAATCAGCTGTGTGGTGGATAGGGCCCGGCGGATTCTGCTCGAAAAGGTGGCAGATTCTGCTCGAAAAGCAGTGAAACTGGCAGAACCACACAAACCTTATGGCGAGCAATTCCTCGAATTCTGCTCCATTCCTTTATCCACATACCAAACATGCATGAAACTTACCAGAAAAAGTACCGAATTCTGCCAATTTTTCTGCCGGCAGAATCCGCCGGGCCCTAGTGGCGGATACCAGGCTAACATTAGTGGCGGTCATCAGCCTTGCAAGCTGTTGAATGGCGTGATCCCAGCACCAGTCGCTATGTCTAGCTGTTCGCTATCATCGCTTCCGCGATGGGCAGGTCTGAGGGCTGAGGTGTGTGTGTGTGTGTGTGTGTGTGTGTGTGTGTGTGTGTGTGTGTGTGTGTGTGTGTCCCATATGGTGCAGTGGTATGTGCAGCGATTTCCAATCGATAGATTGCGGGTTCGATTCCCGACGATTATGGTCACACACGTCTTTCTTCTCTTTCTCAGACTCTTCCTGACTTTTCTTTCATTCTCCTGGGTGGTTACCAACAGCCAGTGCATGCCGGAGTATGTTGTGTGATGTGTGCGGGGGAAAAAAATGAAAAAGACCAAAAATAGGGATTCACTGGCCAGAAAATGTCACTCCAAATAGCTGTATGGTGTAGACCAGGCTGAATAGTGACGGTCAATTCTTCAGCCTTGCAAGCTGTTGAATGGTGTAATCCCAGCACAAGTTGCTATGGCTTCTGCCGTAGCATTGCTATCATCGCCTCCGGCGATGGGCGTAAAAGGTCAAAGGTCAGGTGTGTGTGTTGCAGGTTTGAGATTAACAAGGCTTCAACTTGCGAGTTCTGAAAAATAGATAAACAATTTTAGAAAGCTGCTTCCATGTGTCCAAATATTGAAATAGAGTACAGGCACGAGCCACAGAAAACCACGCGTTTTGATTGTCGTAACTTACAGCTTCATGCCATATACATGTACATGTACATGTAGCAATCTTCAGACAACTGATTACGTGGTTTTCTGTGACTCGTGTGTTACTGCTCTGCTTCCGCATTGAGCACTCTATCGAGCCGGAGGACTCCGCTCTCTGAAATAGAGTACAGGTATACCTTTTAAAATGATTCTAATTCCCTTTACTACAGAGCTGCGCAATGAAATCCGATCGAGTGAGTCAAGTATCCATGGCCTGGGCGCTGTGCAGCCCTTGGCCTGCGAACACTGGAATTTCCACTGCATGCATGGGACTTCCGAAGTACATTGTGCATGCAGGCCAGCAGGGCGCAAAGCTGACTCACAGGGTCGGATTTCATTGAGCTCGCTACGGTCTAGCACCACACCGGCCGATGTTGCGGCGATATTGCCGATGGTGCAGTGTGCCCAGAGATGCCTGGAGGTAACGAACCATACTGAAACTCGCCTCCTTCGTACACGATCGCCAGTGACACGACCAAACTATTGAATTAGAATCGCTGTGATTTACATGATGAGCTCTCGAGTCTTGTGCAATGCAATGAAACTTCTCTATTAGAGTAGACGTGCCTCCATTGTCTGTTAAGTCCGCAACACAAGAAACTCTGAGTTGCGACAAACCTGTAAACCTCCCTTGTGCCCTTTGTGTGTGGCAGTACTCCACATTATTGTGCTGAGCCCTCTCCGCTGACAGAAGTTTTCCTCCTTGTCTGTAAAGTCTGCACTTCATACTACACGTATAGCCGATGATCTACATACTTGCCAACTACACTGATAAAATCCTAACCTTTTGTTGCAAAATGTTCTATAAGGAACGTACTGCTTCGACACCTCATGGATCATTTACACGTATTTACACGTATTTACACGTATTTTGGCTTATTTCAAGAGGCTTTCTACCACTCTATCTGTAACATATTGTTATTATTAGTATATATTACCTTCGTTGATTGTTCACTTTGGATTTGTTCCCCCTCGCCTCCCCATCGCTGCATTGTTATATCGCTCACATGTACCAAATGTCAAGATAGGTTCGAACACCGAAGGGAAAATGAAAATATGATCCAGATAATCTGCAGTGTACATGTACATGACTGTGTTTTACCGTTACAATTAATGGCGTTATTGCTATGCATGGGAGGGTTACCGTCTTCGTAAGGAGTGTTAATCAAGCAGACTCCGGCGTTTGCTCCATATCAGGTACTGAGCATAAAGTACACCACACATTTTCTCAGTTATTTCTGGACTGCCATGTGGTGCATGATTGTATATTTGTATAATGACGCATGAAACTCGACCCATGCTCACACACCATGTCACCTTAGCGACTTCTGCCTGCTGGCTAATTGCCGCCGAAATATGTGGCCGCTTATACACGAATAGAAGCTCAACTTTCTGCAAGATCGCGCTTGCAGAACTGGTGTGCGGTCAGGACGATTCGCCAGTCCGTTCCATTCTTCCTCTGCACGCACTCACGCATACACTCACGCACGCACTCACACTCGCAAATCTCCATGGCCATCCACGCTTTGTCAGTTTGATGGTGTGTGTGTGTGTGGGTGTGTGTGTGTGTGTGTGTGCGCGCGCACGCTCTCTGTTCGCAAAGCAGCTACTGGTACTGGTTCCGAGTGTAGTCAAGCGCGACTCGCAATCTCCCGAGGAACAGGCTAGGCCAGGTGATGGTGTCCAAATCTAGCGAGAGAGATACACGAGGTACAAGATAGAATTTCCGCTCACGCCGCGGCCAGTAGATGTACGTGTGCGCGTGACGAGGACAAAACCAGCAACCTAAACGTGTTCTGCGCCGCTACCTACCCCCATAATGGCATAATTATATCATGTATAATATGACTAAAGTGGTGGCAGCTGAAATCTTTGCTTAAAAAGTTGATTTATCTTTGCTCCCATGGCCCACGATGGCCGTGGCCAATAAGAGAGAAACATGCGTTAGCTGGCAGGTTGTGTGTTGCCAGTTGTGTATCCAAGTCTGTCCATTTGAGAATGCCTGCTTACGTGCATGTACATGTACAGCTAGGGTTCGGATATCCTGTCTTCACTTCTCGTCTTCAGACCACCCAGCTGTTGTTCCTTTCTTTATATAAGGAACTACCGTCTGCACCTGGGATGGAGTCGTAAGCTACACGACTCCCAGGTGTTGGCTGGTTAGTTGGCATTATATTATTTTAGTTCGTTGCCTGAATATAACGTAGCACAAAGTACATAATATCAAGAGGGACGCACGAAAAGGGAAAGGTAAAACAGAGCAGAACGGAAGAGGTACACCACCGTCCGCATTCTGGGCGTCTTGGCTGCGCTGAAAGTGATTCTTCGGAAGTAAAAACATGTCATGTACATAATAATTATAATACTAGTAACCAAGGAGCCAGTGTCGCTCACAAGCCAATTTTTACTTATGGAGCTGCGTGATGCATCCTACAGAGTACAGTTGAGGCTACAAGATTAAAAAAACGTGTTTAGGGCATCGCTGGCCGCAACTCAAGCGAAGGTCCCTGGTTAGGCATTGGCGGATATTGCTCGAAAAGGTGGCAGATTCTGCTCGAAAAGCAGTGAAATTGGCAGAACCATACAAACCTTATGGCGGGCAATTCCTCGAATTCTGCTCCATTTCTTTATCCACATACCAAACATGCATGAAAATCACCAGTCATTGTGTGCAGATTGTTAAGTTTTATTTTCTTTTTTTAAAATTTTTTTTGTTTTGTTTTGCTTTGCAGTTGTTGCGTCAGGCCAGTGAAATAATAATCTGTGATTGCCCGTATAAGAGGCTTAAAAAAAGAAGAAAATTACCAGAAAAAGTACCGAATTCTTCCAATTTTTCTGCCGGCATTACCCGCAAAGACCTATCCCTGGTTAGAGTCCTGGTGGTGGCAGTCAATGTTTTCTTCAGACTTTTCCCTTCTCAACTCCAACAACCAATGAATACTCAGTATTACTTTATCACTCCTTGTCACAGACCGTGGTGTTGTTGTTGTGGTGGTCCCCACACTGCCACAGCTCAGTCAATGAAGACGAGTCTGCCATCAGGGTTCAAGAGTACTATGTGCATTTACATGTACAATCATATAATCCAACACTGGTAAACCAGTATTAGATAAACCTTGTTGTAGTTCACGCCATTGTTAGAGTTTCATGCTGTCAATCTAACAATTGCATGTACAATCATGTACATGTGCTCGAGCTATTATCATTCTACATGTAATTGTACATGGTATGGAACTGGACATGGACATGTACAGTAGAATGATAATGTACATGTTCGTGACAGTACTCTGTCAGTAGATATATACATGTACATATCAGGTTCGGCCTCATTTCCTCTGTGCTGCGCTGATGAGTTCACAAAGAACGAAACAGCATGCTGTCAGCAGATTGAGTACATGTACATGTAAATGTACTATACGCATTGTACAGACGTGTAAGTAATATTCCTTTGGCGGGTAATGCTGGAAGGATACAACGTAGCCTGTACATGTATGTCGATTCTGGAGGAAACCCAATGAAACTAGGAGAACTATACAAACTGTATGGCAGGCACTTCCTTGAATTCTGCTCCATTTCTTTATCCACACAACCACCCATAATGCATGAACACATACCAGAAACACTACCAAATTCTGCCATAATTATTTCTGCCATAATTATCCGCCTAGGGCTACAGCAGTGATTGCAGTCGTGTGCCTCCAGCGCTCGCTCTAAACAGTGCTAGGCCTTGGCGTACAATGCTCGAAAACTGGCAGATGCTGCTCAAAAACCATTGAAATTGGCGGAACCCTGAAACGGTATTGCAGGCAATTTCTCGATGATTCTGCTCCTCGAACTAGTCAAAGTGCTCTTCTTCTTGTTTTCATTACATGTACATTGTACATGTACCAAACACGAATAGGTATGTACGTCATGACATACTGTACTTCCAGTATACACATGTACCGGTACAAGTCATGTACATGTAGATCTCCTACCCGGACCTGCGCAGGTAGATCGGCATGATCTACTGTGCAATGAAAGCCTGTCTAAGACGACCGCTCTAGGAACCTTCGAAATGATGTGATTGTTGTCGCTGTTACCAGGTGGTCTCCTAGCGCAGGGTCATTTGCCTGGAAATGGCATCCCTTGGTTCTGGTTACATTGGTCTTCTGGGAGACTGGGACAGGTGGTCGCCGTATCCGAGTGGTCGCCTTGGCAGGTTTTACTGTACCGTAAAGTACCGCCAGAGCGCCCCGTCTCGCGAGAGCGCCCCACCTTGATTTTACAGCCAGAGAAAGGAAAATCGTATGGCAGAATGCTACTAAGTTTGTACGATGTGAGAACCTTCGTGTACTAAGGTCACACTTGGTATGCTTTTATGTGGAGCTCGAAGGTAAACTGGGTACGGATTGACTGCACAATGTGCAATGTTTGTACAAGGTCCGTGTCGTATGACCTACAGATAGGAATCCACCTCCACAAGGCGGCCACGAAAGGACGAGATGGTGGGGCGCTCTGGCGGTACTTTACCGTACTAGCAAAATTTTTACATGGCTGTACATGACTATACATGGCTGTACATTGTCGGTCGTCGTGTGAAAACTCAAGCTCCTGTTTGTTCTGTATAATACATTTTTATGGTTTGTCCGATTGCGGACAGTCTACTGTCCAGTGCAGGAGACATGCTTGGCATTGCTTGCGGTCCAGTTTATAATAATAAGATGCTGGATCAGCTGACTGCGGATCGGAAAGGATCCGCAGTGGATGTCTGTTCAGCCCACGAGTGACGCGTGACCTGCGCTACCGGTATACTATACACGCATTTCATGGGACAGATCAAAGCCTCGTGTGCTCACTGCTCAGTGCTCACCTGAGCCTGGTCAAAGAAAAAGGCAGAGATTTTTTAACCCACAAATGTATGGTCTGACGGTCAAAGCCAAAAGTATCACGGTCAGTGCACGCGCAGTGCTTGCTGGCTTTATTTTCGTGCAATAATGCCTGGAAATGGTGGATGACAGCTCGAATTAGCCACACGCATTTTACACTACGTAGATCTACATTCTTTGCGGCTGTACTGCATGGCATCACGAGACACCTTGTCCCACCCCAAATGGCTCCATTGGGTAACGTTGTATCAGCGATTCAATACAAACGCTCTCGATAGCCGAGTCATTGTTTGGCAATACAGTTGCTGAACCTTTTATTAATTTTTATTTTATCCCCGACTAGAAAGAGGGCAGCGGAGTGCAAGACCGAAACTTTTTCGTTTTGTATAGAGCAGGAAGGTCTGAAAGCGTCGGCGAGTATTCATGGTATTGCTGCAGCGTAGATTGACCTCTTTCGCCAGTCATTCTCCACTTCATTTTATCGGACAGGTCAGCTCATTGAAGATGCGAAGTGCTGATCGTGGCACTTTGAGTTTGAGTGTGAAAGTCGCCGTTTGCGGCCAAGGTGCGAACTTCGCTTTCTGCCTCTAATTCTGGAGTCTGGGTCTACTAGATCTAGACTTCGGTCGCGTCTGAAGGAGCTGTATTTTCACACTGCGGAACATCGATTTCGCGGTGGTGGACATTGGATGTGGCTAGGTCGGTGGCCTACGTAACTCGTTCGTAGTTTGTGCAGACTTCGCTCGCTTGGAAACAGGCGACGTCGAGGATTTCGTTCTCGGCCGCGGAAAGAGCAGGAGTGCAAGCGCGCACTGGAAGATCCAACGTTTGGCCCAGGTGTGAGCTCAGCAGACAGCTTGAGAGTAGCAATAATTATTCAAGTATTAGTTAGTTCAGGGCCACGCGTGCAACGGGAAGTACTACAGTACGACTATTTGCGCTTGTGTCGAGCTCGAGTGGAGCGTCAACCACTGAGCAACAGCCGGTAGCCGAAGAACAGCTGATTGCACCTGGTCAGTCGTCACTCGTGTCCGTCCGCACGCACAACCTCAATAAAAAAGTGAGCGGAAGGTCGGACAAGAGCAGCGCGTTTAGTAGTACTGTCGGGCAAGGGTTACTCACCAAATCTACGTGAACTCTCAAAGGCTTGTGGCAGTCGACGATAACATCGATTCCCGGAACGCAGGATTTCGCCTTTGTGTCTGCACAGCGCTAGCGGGA